GTGTTGGTGAGGACACACGGACAGGCACTTCCACCCACTGCTGCTGTGTCAGGACACACGGACAGGCACTTCCACCCACTGCTGCTGGGTCAGGACAGCCCAGAGCACCAGCAGCTATTCTGGGGGTAAGCAGGAACCTCCAGCTCATGCCTGGGGCACTCCCAAACTACCCTGTCAGAATCTGAGGTATTGATGATTCTAAGATTGTAGAAAGTCTCTGTCTGTCTGCCCCGCTGCCAAAGAAGAAGCCATAATTGGTCTGTGCTGGTTTCAAGGTTGTTTATTCTGTTTATCTCTAACATGTTCTGCTGCCCTGCCGCAGCTCTGTCCTGCAGGGCAGCGTGTGGGGCTCTGCCCTCAGTGGGATGTTACAAACATTAAATACCACAAACTACCTGTGCTGGATTTACAATAACGTGCCAATATCTGTCACCTACGTTGGACAGTGTGTCCCCAGCCTGAACCAACAGAAAAATGCCAACACCACAGTGAAACATGGAGGGAATGAAGAAGGAGAAAAAGGACAAGGCACACCCAATTTCCTCCATCTTGTCCCCTTTGGACCCCTAATCTAGAATCCTAAAATTTTACTTTTGCACCCGCGCCACACTTAATTATTACTCATATCAAACACTCAGAGCTGGTAATTCATCCTGTAAGATTGAAAACTCTTTTCCATGGGCAGAGATCACAGCCAGTGTCTCTGGGGGCTCTGTCCAGGGGGGTTCCTGACCCCTGCCAGGGTCCCAGCCCTGCCAGGGCAGCCAGAGGGAAGCCCTGGACTCCCACACTACCCCAGCATCCCAAAATCACCCCACGGTGCCAAAGCCACTGCAGGTCCCTTCTGCTGCAGCCTGCTCCCCGTGTCTCAGAGTCACTCCCGGTGCCAGCCCAGGGTGCAGGGCTCTGCTCTGGCTGTGCAGGTGCCCCACGGGATCCCAGCCTGTCCCCACACAGTGCTGGGAGCCCACCACAGTTACAGGTTTCCTGCATGTCCCGCCTGTGGGCCTTTGTCACACACGCTGTCCCACATCTGGGACTCGCCAGTTGGAGATGGCAGTGCTATTTCCATGTTGAACTGTAACTTTTTTACCCCCAGCCGTTCCAGGGCTTACAACTATTGTGTGGGGTTTTTAATGTTGCAAGAATTTATATTGGGAAAAAAGTGTTTTTCGTTTTTATTTTTTTTTTCTCTATGCCTTGGGAAATGTCATCCAGCAGGAATGTTCCCAAGAGCTGATCATGGCTGAGAGAAGGATGGGCTTGAGCAGGGGCTGCATGCCCAGCTCCCATCCCTGTCCCAGTCTCCCAGGACTGGCTCACAGGGCTGTGGCTCCCTTGGGTGCTCCACCCGTGCTCCTCCAACTGCCCCGTGGTCCTCAGGGACATCTGCAGCAGCAGCAGAGGCAGGAGGGAGGGAGCAGATGCCTGGAGAGGGACGAGCTGCTCACAAAGCCACTCCTGCTGCAGAGGCTCTTGGTTTCATGTCCTCCTGGCTGTGCCAGTGGCCTCTTCCACTTCCAGCTCTGGATGGAGTTTACAAGAAATGCTGGAAGACCCAACCCTGCGATGTGTCATCATTCAAAATTCTCTTTAATACTATCCCAAAGTGATTTATTTTTCCCAAACATCAAAGCCCCCTGAGCAATACTGGGAGAGGCAAGGCTTCCCCCCAAACCCTGGTGGCTCCTGCACCCTCTGCCCTGCTCGGGGGGCTGGGCACCCTCCTTGGCTGTGCCAGGGACAGCGATGGTTTCAGGTGGGGCCAGGGGAGGCAGAGCTGTGGCAAGATGAGGAGGCAGATCTTCCCCCTGAAAACACAAGTGAGGTGGATATGGATTGCCCTGGAGCCTTTTCCAGCTCAGCATCACATCACAGACCACTTTGGGGAGCAGGAACTGAGGGGAAAAGAATCATAATGAGAAAGAAATAGCGAGGAAATGCGAGTCTACATCTCCCTCTCTTCTGCTGGGATTCAGAGCCACCCTGCACCCTCTGGCATGCCAGGGGCACTGAGGATGCAGGCACAGCATCTCCTCACACCTCTGGGCTCAGGGGATCCCCCTGTTCCCACTGCTGCTGTCCTCCCCAGCTGCGTGAGCTTTGCAGAGGGAATTTAACAGAGAAATTGCAGCAGCTCCTGCCTGTACAAACAGCGTGCTGCTGTCCCTGCCAGCACTCCATGCTGGTTTGCCTCAAGGAATCTGTGACATCCGTCCTGCTGTGATCTGTAACAATATTGGGATTAAATTAGCTTCCCTGAGCTGCAGAGAGGTCAGTGTGCAAGGCCCCTGGTTAATCCAGCAGGCCAGAGAGAACAGAAGCCTCCCTGCATTGGGAAAGGAAAACAACGGGGTCTGTTTGCAATCCGTGCAGCTAATTCAAACAGCATTCCTCAAACAACAGGGGAAAGGGCCTTCGGAGCAAATGGGAAAAGAGCGTTTCCCAACAGCACAGAACGCTGCTCCTCGGGGAGAGGGAAGTGTCCAGGCTGCACCAACGAGGGGCCAGGGACATGCAGGCCCTGGAGAGGGCTCTGAACAGCGAGGAGAGGTGTGGGGGGCACTGGGGCTGCCCCCTGCCCCGGGCAGGGCAAACCCAGAGCAGCTCATGCTGCTGGAGCCCTCCTGAGCTGCTGCCAGGGCGGGTGCAGGCAGGCACCAGCTGCTGCCAGCCCCACACCGGGCAGGGATGGGGCATCTCCCCCAGCGCTGCTGGCACTCGGGATGCTGATTGCTGTGTGTAGGAGATATAACTGGCACCATTTCTAATGTGGTAGATGTGATATTGAGTATTTGTTAGAGTACACATGTTTGTATTAGGATTCCCCCCCCCCCTCACAGGCGCAGGTGAGACCGGGTGTAGATTGGAAACTGATTTACAAGTAAGAAGGTACAGCTGGCCAGGAGATGGGCCATGTGTGGTGGGATTTGGGGACACCAGGAGATGGGCCATGTCTGGGGAGATACAGAAACCCCAGGTGCTGATCGTTGAACGACCCGAGATGTCCCAGCCAGAGGAGCCCGGGGAACCCACTGTGGGTGTCATAGAGCCCTCTGCTTTCCATCTGGGGCAGCTTGGCATCTTATCCTGCTAAAACAGCGAATTTCATGTCCTTTTGTACAGGAGAGAAACAACCTGTTGGGGATTAATACAGGATCAGCCTCAAGAGCTATTAGCTAAAGAAAACCAAGCCTGTAAATGAGCTTCTGTCAGAGGGGAAGCAGTGCAGGACTTGGTGCTGGGTTGGATGTGCAGGGTGTTAAGGCAGGTTTTAGTGTGATTTTCCATCCTCTAAAATGACACCTCTGGCACCATGTGAGCACATCCCTTTGCCTTCAGCAGACCCGCTGCTCTGTTGGCTGGTTACTGTGTGCTGGGGACCCTGCTGCTGCATCTGGGCCTGGTAGCATTGCCAGTACAGAGCTCTGACTTTGGGGTTTATTGCTCAGTTGGAACCTTGATCTACAGCTGTCAGCAGAGGCTGCACCAGGCCAGTGTCAGAGAGGAGGTTTGGCTGTTCAATGTGCATGAAATACACATCTTGGGTTCACCAGATTTTTCACTCGTGCAGTCAGTGGAGTAACGCTGTCCCTGACGTCGTTTGATGGCACTTGAGAATTTCCTAGAATAGAAAGTTAAAAAAGCTCTAAATATAAATAGAAAAATGTCTTAGATACGGAGACTTGCAGCAGTGACTGCTCAGCATCTGCCAACAAGCAGCACACACCCACCACACTCGTGTGAGATGGCAGAGATCTCCGTGACATCACTTACAAACAGGCAGCGAGGGACATTTAACCAGCAAAGTTCAGGATGAATAAAACTTCCATGGGCATGAGCACTAACACACACAGCACGAAGGAAAAGCTGCAGGAAGGGTGAGTTTTCCCTCTTGCCTGTGTTTGGGTTATTTTGCACCTCTGTGTTCACAGCTGCCCCCACACAAGCGCTGTGTGAGGAATTCCTGAGGCTCTCTGAATCTCGGTGTCTGGGGGCTGCTTGGTGCCATGCCCTGTGTCCAGACCCTTGCCCTGCTCCTCCTCAGGGCTGTGGGGTCCATCCTGAGTCCAGTGGGCACTCCAGGGCTGATGCCAGCTGCTGCCAGGGGCACTCAGGGACCTCCCTTCAATGGGGGCTCGTGGCCAGCAGCGTTGAAGGGGAAGTGCCCTGGCCCCAGCAGGGGACCCAGGAGGGATTCAGGAGCCACCACAGGGCTCGTCACATTGTCTGAAAGAGCCTCTGGCTTCCAGCTCAGAGCCCTGCAAGCCTGGGGAGTCTCCCAGGGGCCTGCCAGGGTCACGCCAAGGGGCTGCCTGGCAGCTTGGCACACGCCCCAGGGACAGCTCTGCAGGGCACCAGGGCCCTGAGCATCACGTCAGCCCTGCAAGAGCCAGGGACGAGGGTCACTCCTGGCTGCTGGTGGCCACCAACTCCTCTGTATGGCTTGTAGGGGAGCACTGGGCAGGGTCCAGCAGGCTCCTGGGAACACCTGGCAGTGCCTGAGCCCCGGGGCAGGGTCTGCTCATCCCAGCAGGCATGGTGGGGCTCAGGGAAGGTGCTGGGGCACTGATGTCCCTGTTCCCCTGCTCTGTCCAGCCTGGAGCGCAGGGGAGGAGGGACAGGGAGCTGACAGCACAGGGACAGAGCTCCCAGGCTGCTCAGGTGTGCTGGAGGGCAGGAGCCCAGGCAGTGCCCCACAGCCGTGCTGCTCTCCTGGGCAGGAGCGTTTCCTCCTGCTGCACAGCCAGCAATGGAAAAAACAACCAGGCTCTGAGCTCTTTGCCTTCATGCCTTCCCCCCTCCAGAGGATAATAAGCTGCTTTTAATATCTGACATGTTTATTAACAGATGCAGTTGTGACAGCTGATGACTTCATATGCCACTTACCACTAAAATGTTAGTAATAACTCAGAATGAACTGTCATAAATAAAAAAGACTACAAAGCCAACTGGATGGTGTGTCACTCTGCAGTAATTTACAGAGACCCTGTTGGCTCTGGATGCGAGGCTGGAAGGTCCTTTGTGGAGCTCCAGTCCGGGTTTTGCAACAGTCACAATATTTTGGCTGGATATTGTCTTAGGAGGTGGTACCAGTGGGGTGGAATTCCCTCATGCAGGAGTTTGCACTGGATGCCTTTACAAAGCTGGATACTCTGGTAATAATAATAATAAAAAGCCCCTACCCGGTGGATGGGGACGGAGTCCACGGACTGAGAGCAGGATTTATGAATGTGCAAATCGCTGTGATATGATCACATACTCTCTGCTTTGCATACGCAGGGAGCAGCGTGGGCTGATGGAGCAGGAGCTAGCCTGAGCGATCTTTACGAGCTGAGATCCCGCACATCGCAGAAGGGCTCGTTTCTCTGTGCAAAACCTGGGACCCCGTTAGAAACCTGCTTCAAAAAAAAAACAAACCAGTGACCAAAAAATCCAAACGCACCAGACTTCTCCATGAACTCGCCATGAATATATTTTTCTTTTTTTTTTTTTTTTTGGCAGAAATGCGTGTGTAACTTTTTTCTGGAGCATCTGAGGAATTTTGTAGTTGTTCTTATAGTATTTTAAATCTGAGAAAAGCCCGTAGAATCTTTCCCGCAGTGATGAGGGAGTGACAAGTCGAAGGTAAGGCATGTTTGTGTGGATGGAGCTTTTGCACGGCGGGCTGCTAAGGAAGAACGGGAGCCGTGGCAGCATCTGAGCGCGGGTTTGCCTTGTGCGACGTGGAGAATGAGCTCAGACAATGCGAGATCACGGCGCGATCCCCGGGGTCCCCTTCTGCCTCCCCTCCCTCGAGGTGCCGGGGCTCTCTGCATGCCCTGGCACCGCGCTGCCACCCCGGGCTGGGCAAGGGGGCAGAGAGCTGCTGGGGATATTGATCAGCTGGTCCAGGATCAGCCAGGAGCTGCCCTGTGCCCTCCCTCCGGTGCCAGGCTGGGCAAGGGGGCACAGAGAGCTGCTGGGGATATTGATCAGCTGGTCCAGGATCAGCCAGGAGCTGCCCTGTGCCCTCCCTCCGGTGCCAGGCACGGGGCAATGGGAGCAGGGACAGGGAATTTGCTGCTGTTTCAGCCCTGCTGTGGCTGCACCTAAAGCAAAGCTCCTGCCACGCACCCATGGGGGCACGGAGAGCGCGGGGTAAGTAGGGATGTTCACGGGGATCGTGGCAGTGATTTATGGAGATTGTGGCAGTGTGAGCAGCTGGTGCTGATGTGCAGGCTGCTGGATCCCCGAGGGGTCAGCGAGGGCTCCCACAGCCAGGCTGGGACGCAGCTCCCCTGGCACAGGGTGGCTCGAGGTGGCTTCAGCCTCGGTGCTGGTGGACATGGCTGGAGGTGACTGGGCTTGGTCACTCCTGGAGTTTTTTATAGGCTCAGGCATGTGTGTTCCCTTGAACGGCCCTGGCTACCCAGGAGGGGCTCTCAGGTGATGCGGTTTGGGTTTAAAGAGGCACCTTACAGTGAAGGGCGTTAAAATAAGTTAATGCTGGCAGGAGAAAATGCCAAGGCACGCATGGAGCCTCCACTCTGCTGCACAGGGGTCAGCAGGTACCCACACAGAAAAATCCCTGAAGGGATCTGTGTGGTGATGGGGTCTGTGTGGTTATGGGGTCTGTGTGGTCATGGGGTCTGTGTGCTGATGGGGTCTGTGTGCCTATGGGGTCCGTGTGGTCATGGGGGCCATGTGTCTATGAACCTGGGGAGTGCTTACAGTGCTGCTGAGGTGGCCAGGTCTGTGCTGAGATCCCCCAGGCACTGAGCACTTGCAGTGAAAGCTCTGCCTGGGGGTTCTCTGTTCGCAGTGATTCTGTCTGAGCTCTGCTGGTGACCCCGGAGCGGGTGAGCTCCCGGCTCCATCCACTCTCCCCGCTGTGGGGCCAGGGCCAGCAGGCTGGCTGGGAGGATGGCAGCAGCACCGCGGGCCTGGGAATGCCAGGGCTGCAACATGCCTGGAAACCACCCTGGAAAAAAGGCTCCTTTCAGCTGGATCAGCTCCCCGGCCCTGCACGCTGCTGCCAGAGCAGCAGCACCACCCTGAGGGACGCGGCAGGGAGGAGCGGGGTGAGGCACCCGCCCTGGAAATGCAGGGCAGAGATGCCCTGGGCACAGACAAAAACTCTGTAAATGCAGGGCAGCGATGCCCTGGGCACAGACAAAACTCTGTAAATGCAGGGCAGCGATGCCCTGGGCACAGATAAAAGCTCTGGAGGTGCAGGGCAGCGATGCCCTGGGCACAGACAAAGCTCTGGAAATGCAGGGCAGTGATGCCCTGGGCACAGACAAAGCTCTGGAGGTGCAGGGCAGCGATGCCCTGGGCACAGATAAAAGCTCTGTAAATGCAGGGCAGCGATGCCCTGGGCACAGACAAAGCTCTGGAAATGCAGGGCAGTGATGCCCTGGGCACAGATAAAAGCTCTGGAGGTGCAGGGCAGCGATGCCCTGGGCACAGACAAAGCTCTGGAAATGCAGGGCAGCGATGCCCTGGGCACAGATAAAAGCTCTGGAGGTGCAGGGCAGAGATGCTCTGGAGGTGCAGGGCAGAGATGCCCTGGGCACAGACAAAGCTCTGGCTGTGCCACAGTGTGCAGGCAGCAGCGGAGCCGAGCAAAGCCCCAGGTTTCCATCAGCCAAGCCAGATGTGAGCTGGCACAGCTCTTGCTGGACTGTGAGGCTGGGACTGTGGTGAGCAGCAGAGCCAAGGGCCAGGTCAACCCTCCTGGCCTGTGGGGACAGAGGTGACCATGCAGCTGAGACAGGTGGCACTGGAGCAGAGACATTTCCCTGTGTGGTATGAGGGTGACCTGAGGATGGAAGTGCCTGCCTAATTTGCCTGGAAATATCAACAGGTTTCCTGCCATCCCCACCACCAAGCTCCTCCAGGAAGATGCTCTGGGGCTGCAGCTTCCAGGGGCAGTGGGGCAGCGTGGGCAGGCTGCAGGATGCAAACCTTCATTGCAAACCACCCCGAGCACTGCCAGACCTGCAGAGCTCAGACCCTGCTGCCCCTGTCCTAGTGCTGCAGGGGGCTGTCATCCCACAAAAACACAGAGTTTGGGATGGGCTCAGTCCAGGCTGGCAGCAGCAACTGGTCTGGAGGATGCCCTGGCTGCCTTCTCACTCCTCCTGCTCGTCCTGCCACATGCTCAGAGCTGAGGCTGTGGGTTATTTTTCCCAGTTTGTTTTCCTCTGCTGCTGGAGTTGGTGCTACTCCTGGCTCTGCAGGGCTCAGGTTTCCCAGGCAGTGATGTCTGGGAGAGCCAGAGCGCTGGGAATCCCTTCAGGAAGCTCCTCTGGGCAGATGGTTCCTGTGCACATGGCCATCAGAAAGCCCCAGGTGCTGCTCAGGGCTTTGCCCTGGACTTCAGGCTTTGGCAGCTCAGCACAGCAGCTCATGGCTCATCGGGCCCCTGTGAGCCTGGAAATTTGTGTTTGCAAAGCTGGCAGGCAGGAGCTGTGGTGGAAGGAGCTGTGAGTCCTTGTTTGCATGCATTTCCAGAGAAATAAGAGGGGAATTGGGTATTGAGCCGAATGTGTGCACTTGTTGTAGGATCAGCACCCCTGACTGTGCTTCTGGGCATGTGTCAGACCCCCCTGCTCCCACCCAGGGCTATACCTGGCATGGTGTGTGGCCATCCCCACCTCCTGGGCAGCTGCTGAGCATGTCCCTGCTCAGCCAGGGCCTTTAGGGAGCCCTTTTGGGGGAAGAACCTGATTTTCAGTGCCTGCTCTGTGCTACCCCAAACTGGGCTGCTCTGTTTCCTGGTCTGAAATTTGCTTGTGCTGTTCTGGTGAGTTACTGATCTGTAGGAGGCTGAAAGCCACCTGAGCTGTGCCCAACAGACCCAGGTTTGCTGCTCCCACAACCCAGGCACGGAGCTGTGCCTGCCAGGATGATCCCAGCACAGCTCCAGATGCTGCTCTGGTTCTGTGCCTGCCTCAGGGCTCTGCCTCCTCCTCCTGCTCCAGAGCATCGTGCTGCCTCTGCTGGCATGAGGGAATCCCCCTGTAAAACATTTCCTGATGTTTAGCAGCTGGGAGGGAGCCCTGTGGCACTGTGCAGCACAGCGTTTCTCCAGCAGCTGCTGTGGGGACACTGAGCTGGGGCTGAGGTGCTGCTGAGCCCAGGGCAGGGCACAGGGATGGCCAGGAGCAGCAGCCTCTCCTCTGGGTGCTCCCCTCCAGCACGGGGAATGCACTGGAAGCTCTTCTAGTGGAAGAACTCAGACCTCAACAATGCTGTGGATAGCTCTGCTGCCAGATTTGGGCTTTTATTATTTTATTTTTTCAGCGAAGTTTATGGGTTGGGGATTTTGCAGAACTTGGCGCTGGGATCTAATATCAAATGAAGACCTTCTGGTTCGGAAATTTGACTTAATGCAGCCGTCTTTTATTGCTTCAAGGATTAAGCAGAACAAAGTGGCTCTGCCTTGTGTTGTGCAGAGATGTTTGCCAGAGGCACGTGAGACACCCTGTGGCAGCTGTGGTGGCCGAGCCAAGCCTGGTGGGACCTTCCACTGCCGAGGGTTCTGCAGCTGCTCCTGGAGCCCAGGACAGGAAAGCAGCCCTCGGGAACACAGCAGCAGAGAGGGGCTTTCCCAAAGAGAATGAGGGCCCAAACCTGCTCCTCCCACGGCAGGGCTGGTGGAGCAGGCAGGGAGCTCTGCCATGGGGTCACCAGTGCAGGGAATAGGGCACAGGCAGAGCAGGCAGCGGGCTCAGGGAGCACCAGCAGCGTGGGCACATCCCTGTGTGCCTGTGGGACAGGGACAAGGGGTAACCAGGTGCCACGGCTGGTGTTTGAGGGGCCTTTCAAAGCCCCACAAAGGCTGGGGAACGAGCCAGCGGCGTGGAGCTGCTGCTGCCACCCACAACCTTCCAGAGCTGGATTCTGCCCTGGGGCTGGGAAACCTCGGGGTGGTGTGTCCTGGGCACTGGGAAACATCAGGGTGGTGTGTGTGTGTGTCCTGGGCACTGGGAAACCCCACAGTGGTGTGTGTGTGTGTCCTGGGCACTGGGAAACCTCGGGGTGGTGTGTGTGTGTGTCCTGGGCACTGGGAAACCTCACAGTGGTGTGTGTGTGTGTCCTCAGCACTGGAAGGCCTCAGGATGGTGTGTCCTCTTTGCTGTCCCCTGCTGAGGGGCTGGGAGACCTGGCACCAGACAAACCCTGCAAAACTCCTCCTGCAGGAAGCCACTTTGTGCATGCTCACACAGAGGAAATTCAAATTCTCTATCCAGCTCCAGGACCTGGAAACCCAAATTGCCCACCTCACAGCTGGGCTGTTGGCAGCGACCTGGCAGCTCCCAGGGGTTTGTTCCTACTGCTGTTGTAACCAGGTCTGTCCAGCCTCCAGCATCTGGTCCTTCTCTCCAAGGCTCAGTAAACCTTTGGAGAGCCTGTTTACATTTGGGATCCCTGGTAGGTTCAGCAAGAGGCAATATATCAGCAATTTAGTTATTGTGGATTAGGTCTCAAATATCCTGGGGATATAATGTTGGTCTTTCTCACCTTGTGTGTAGGAGGACTAATGGCAAATTATCTGGATGGTTTACATTTTCTGGTTTGTATTGGAGCTCCCAAGGACCAATTTATCCTGATTGAATTGCAAACAAGGCTTAGTGCCATCTCAGATTCAGGGGCCAGGTCTCTCCATAAATGAATTCAGAACAATTCAGGTTACCCCAAATTCTTCCTGTAGATTGGATAATGGCATAAATCCTGCGAATGTTTAGACTGGAAATTGTTTGTAGCAACCTGAGCTTGAGCGATGGCTGCGGTAACAGAAAGAATCATAACTCGTGTCCTGCAGTGAGGGTGGGAAGAGCTGGCAGCCCAGCCAGAGGGCTCACACAGACCCCCAGGTGCTCGTGGGGGGTTTGGAGACCATGTGTGACCTGCCAAAACACGGACTCTGCAGCACCTACAGCGCCAGTGGCCTTTCTGTGCTGAGGCAGCGGCTGTAGGCAAACCCAGGCTGTGTTTGGGCTGGAAAGCAAGGAAACGAGGAGGGAAACAAGGAGGGAAACAAGGAGGGAAACAAGGAGGGAAACAAGGAGGGAAACAAGGAGGGAAACAAGGAGGGAAACAAGGAGGGAAACAAGGAGGGAAACAAGGAGGGAAACAAGGAGGGAAACAAGGAGGGAAACGCGTGTGCTCGCTTGGTTTGTGCTGCGCTCTCCAGGTTTCCCATGGCACTGCCCTGCCCCAGCCCATGATGGTGCTGCCACCAACTCCGCGCTGCCCCTTGGCACCCCGGGGCTGCGTTTGCTCCCTGAGGACATCCCTCCACGCCGGGGTGTCGGAATCTGAGGTATTGGTGATTCCAAGATTGTAGAAAGTCTCTGTCTGTCAGCCCCGCTGCCAAAGCAGAAGCCATAATTGGTCTGTGCTGTTTCAAGGTTGTTTATTCTGTTTATCTCTAACATGTTCTGCTGCCCTGCCGCAGCTCTGTCCTGCAGGGCAGCGTGTGGGGCTCTGCCCTCAGTGGGATGGTACAAACATTAAATACCACAAACTACCTGTGCTGGATTTACAATAACGTGCCAATATCTGTCACCTACGATGGACAGTGTGTCCCCAGCCTAAACCAACAGAAAAATGCCAACACCACAGTGAAACATGGAGGGCATGAAGAAGGAGGAAAAGGACAAGGCACACCCAATTTCCTCCATCTTGTCCCCTCTGAACCCCTAATCCAGAATCCTAAAATTTTACTTTTGCACCCGTGCCACACTTAATTATTACTTATATCAAACACTCAGAGCTTGTAATTCATCCTGTAAGATTGAAAACTCTTTTCCATGGCCAGAGATCACAGCCAGTGTCTCTGGGGGCTCTGTCCAGGGGGGTTCCTGACCCCTGCCAGGGTCCCAGACCTGCCAGGGCAGCTGAGGGAAGCTCTGGATTCCCACACGGGGGGACAGTGCCCAGACTGTGAGTGCTGTGGAAACGCGGCGTGTGCTTCCTGCGAGCACCGCAAAGCCGCCGTAATTAAAAAGCGTAATTAAACAGCGGGGGGGGGCGGCTCCGCGGTGCCTCCAGAGTGCCTGGCAGGGTTTGGGCAGCGCTGCACGGACCGCATACCCACTGACCCCATACCCATGACCCATGCCCACTGACCCATACCCACTGACCCCATACCCACTGACCCATACCCACGGACCACATACCCACTGACCCCTGCCCACTGACCCATGCCCACGGACCCATGCCCACGGACCCATACCCACGGACCCATGCCCACGGACCCATGCCCACGGACCCATACCCACGGACCCATGCCCACGGACCCATGCCCACGGACCCATACCCACGGACCCATGCCCACGGACCCATGCCCATGGATCCCATACCCACGGACCCATGCCCACGGACCCATACCCACGGACCCATACCCACGGACCCATGCCCACTGACCCATGCCCACGCTGCCATGGGCACGGCCGGGCCGTCCCGCACCGCCTGCCCGCAGGGATCTGCCCCGCTCCCCGCACAAGTGCAGAGGGGCTGCGGGGATCCCCCCGCGCACAGCTCCGTAAAAATCCTCCCGACAGCCCGGCTTAAGCACTTGACAGTGTTTATAAAGCAGCTTGCAGCAAACAGGCTTGGAAGTGCGGAACAAGTTGGTGTTTACACAAGTGACTAATTATTTATTTGAAAATCCTGCGGAGGAGCCGTGGGCTGTAACGACAAGCACATGGGGAGCGCTGGGCTCCTGCCCCGGCAGCCGCAGCGGGGACACGGTGAAAAGTTCAGAGCCACAGGGCGGGGGACAGTGGCCATGTCCCCAGAGCACCCGGTGGCCATCAGGTGAGCGGGGTGTGTGCCATGGGCTGGACAAGCACCCGGGCCAGAGTGTCCCATGCTGCTGCTGGGACAGGGGACAGCCCCCTCCTCCTCCAGGTGCTCTGCCCTGGGGCCGTGACCCCCCTCAGGTGGGCTGTGGGGCTGTGGCCCCTCTGCAGGGTGGGCCAGGGAAGGGACCGGTCCCCGGGGCACCGGGTCCATCCCAGGCTGAGCCGGGCTCGCCTCCAGCACTGTCGCCACCAGTTGTTTGGGGCATCGGTGATTGCGCAGTTATTATAAAGGGATTAAAACAATTTTCTGTTCCATTTGACTTCACAGAGCAAATGTTGTCGCCTTTATTCCAGCACAATGTCTGCCGTTGGCAGGGCTTTGCTGTGCCAGCTGCAGAGGGGAGCGGGGCCCGGCCTGGCAGTGCTGATCTCTTGGTGCAGCACAGAACTCGCCCTTCCTTCACACCGGGCACAGTGTGAAACGACAGGGAAAATGCCCTGTCAGGAGCCAGCTGGAGCAGGGTTTGGGCACTCTCAGGCAGGGATGGCACATGAGGAGTCCTGGCTGGCAGCTGGGCTCCCCTTCTCCCTGCCGAGGTTCATGCAGAGCTTTTGGTTTGCTGCCCAGCCTGTCCTGCTGCTGCTGCCACCTCATCGCTCTGTCCTGCCATGCACAGTGGGCCACTCTGGGCTGGCTTGGTGAGGGCAGCGTGGCACTCGTAGCCGGGCTCTGTGCCCCATGCCGGGCTCTGTGCCCCATGCCAGGCTCTGTGCCCCATGCCGGGCTCTGTGCCCCATGCCGGGCTCTCTCTGCCCCACACCAGCCTCTCTCTGCCCCATGCCAGGCTCTCTCTGCCCCACGCCAGGCTCTCTCTGCCCCACGCCAGGCTCTCTCTGCCCCACACCAGGCTCTCTCTGCCCCACACCAGCCTCTCTCTGCCCGGCTCTCTCTGCCCCACACCAGCCTCTCTCTGCCCCATACCAGGCTCTCTCTGCCCCATGCCAGGCTCTCTCTCTCCCTGTGAGCCCGGGCCAGAGCAGCTCCTGCACTCAGCCCAGCACAGCCAGAGCTGACCCTGCCCTGTGCTTCAGGGAATGGGAGATGGGAGGTTTGGAAATTCCCTCAGAGCAGAAACACAGCATTTTGGGCAGCTGGCAGAGGATCCCACCCCGTCCCCAGACAGCCCCAGCCCTGGCTGGGGACTGCAGGCTCGCTCTCTGCTGGCCTTGACTACCAGCCCCAGAGGTGCCCACTTGATGGGAAACATCTTGTGTGCCTGGCACCCGCAGCAGCCATCTGCTGCTTGGGGAGGGCAGCCCAGGGGTCTGGCTCTATTTTAAACAAGTTCCAGCTCTAACTACTGTTTGCAGCACTGGCAGATGGCAAAGATGCGCTGAGCATCCCGGAGGGTGCTGATTATTAGTACCAGAGACTTATGGATGAGGCTGGAGCACACTTCTCCCCACACCACTCCGGGTGCCACTATCTGCCAGCACCCCACAATGTGCCAGGCACATTCTTCTCTCTCTCAGGATTTTTTATAAAGGAGCACAGAGGGAAGAAAGAGAAAGCTATTTCTATTTTTGCTCCTTGTTTTCCCATGTGGAATGTATTTAAAGAATTGTTTACCTGGGGTGAGTGCTTGGTTGGATTCTGGTGAGGATTGTTTGAGCCTGATGGCCAATCCAACCCACCTGGGGCTGGGCTCTCCAGAGAGGACCAGGGGCTGTGAGTTAGGTATGGTAGTTAGAAAAAGTAGGTTTGTAATTTTAGTATCACCTTTCAATAGGATATTGATGTATTATAATATAGTTATAATAAAGAAATAATATAGCCTTCTGAACTGGAGTCAGACATCATCATTTCTTCCCACTGGTTTCACCTGCATTTACAATCCAACAACCCCTGTGCTTGCCCCCAGCCACTGTGGGAGTGCTGCTGTCTGTCTGTGCAGTTAACCTGTTCTCCTCTTCTCCTGCAGCTCCTGCCAGCGCCCCTGGGAGCTGCGAGCAGCTGACGCCACCGCCGAGCCCCCGATGGGACTGGGGCCGAGCTCCTGCACTCCTGACAGGGATGAAGGTAGAGCCATGTTACCTGCCACCTAAGCTGCCTGCTGCTGATGTAGCTGGTGGATATGGTCCCAGACCTGGCTCCGTGCACAGACTCTCGGCTCTGATCCCAGCCCCGAGGATTTAGCGGCAGCAGAGCCCAGCTGTGGAGCACGCTCCCCCAGGCACCCCAGGACGGAGGGGCTGCAGCGCTGGAGAGTTACTATGCAGCTTGGACTGCTTGTGGTGGTGGTTTTTCTAAGCTCCATGGATCTAACAGGCAGCAGCAAAGTGGTGAAGGGCAAGAGGCAAAGACGAAGTATGTATGAAATGCTTTTCTTCTCTACTTCCTCCCATCGTGCCATGAAGGTCATGCTGGTGTCAATGTGTTTACAGCTCAGGGAGCTGGGCAGGGCCCCAAAATCCCCCAGCCCCACTCCCATGTCCCCTGACCTGCCACAGCTCCGAGCTGGGGTGTCCCCTGAGGTCACGGGGGGTCAGTTATGCCTCCAGCCCAGAGGGTCCCTGGTGGGGCTCCTGCAGCGCAGCCAGGCAGAATTGGCACACGAGCAGCCAGAGGCATTTGCCCTCCTTTATGTAAGCTCATGTTAGAGCTGTTTTACATTAAAACTGTTTTAAATTGAATTATATAAAATTGATTTTATATTAAAACTGGGACTGCTGAGCCCTGGGAGAACAAGGAAAACCTGACGTCATGGCTAATGCTATAAAGGGCAATTTCCAGTGAGAGCCCAGTTTATACCTCTGCCATGGATGCAGAGCTTGGCCCCAGAGCCCAGCACTGTGGGAGGGATGGGGCTGGATCCCCGGGGGTCTCTGTGTAGAGGGGCCAGGGCCCCCAGTGCCAGGGGGTCCCAATCCAGACCAGGGAACCCTCCTGGCAGCTGGGGGCTGAGGGTCCCCATGCCTTTGGTGTCTCTTTCTGAGGCTGAAGCAGCCCCCACAGCCCCTGGCAATGGGGCTGGGGCGGGCAGTGGGGGCTGCCAGGCTCTCGGGTCATGGTGTGGGGACTGGGCAGCTCTCTCACCTCTAGTCCTGACACTCCAACACTGTGCTTGCTTTTGAAGTGTAGTAAACATGGTATTTAAAAGAATACATCTTTTGAATACACAGATTTTCTATAAACAAGGACATGGCTTGCATAATAAACTAATAAAAATAACCTGCATTCTAGTCTGCAAAGAATGCAATTGGTTTCAAAACAAGCAGCATTTTCTATGGTAATTAAAAGCAGAGAACTCTCAAGACAAGGGATTGAGTATTTTTCTTGGACTGAATGTAGGAGCTGAGAACACATCTCTATTTTGGGGGCAGTGACACCTCCCGACTGCCAGAGAGAATTTAACATAGGCAGGGTCAGAGTGAGACCCAGTCTGGGATGCAGCACGGACAGAATTAATGGAACAGTTTTGCTCCAGGGCCATGCCCTGGTCCCTGCTGCTCCTCGGCGTGGAGGCACCGCAGGGGAGGCAGGAGGAGGTGCTGGAGCCCCGGGCTCATGCCCATGGTCAGTTCTGCCCCACACGGGCTGGGCTGGGCAGTTCTGGGCACAGCTGGTGGCTCTTTTGGGGTCCTGCTCCTGCTGTGGTGACTCTCGTGGCCGTGCTTGGCACAGCTGTGGCCCCTGGGGACGAGGCCAGAGCGGCGCTGTGAGCGTGCCAGTGCTGCAGGAGCCTGGCTGTGCCCCGGGTGCTGCCCTTGCTGCCCGGGTTTGGGGTCCCAGCTGGTGCCCGCAGAGCCTGGCACTAACACTGCCTCTCTCCCCCTCTTCAGTCAGCACCGAGCTGAGCCAGGGCTGTGCCAGAGGCTGTGACCTGTGCTCTGAGTTCAACGGGTGCCTGAGGTGCTCCCCCAAACTCTTCATCCTTCTGGAGCGGAACGATATCCGACAAATTGGGATTTGCCTGCCCTCTTGTCCGCTGGGATACTTCGGCCTTCGCAACACGGACATGAACAAGTGCATCAGTGAGTGTGGGGCTGGGAGGGGAGGGGGGGGTGTGGGCAGGAGCAGTGCTCTGCAGGGCAGAGCCTCTGCTCGGTGCACGAGGTGCTGTGGCTGTGGCTGAGCCTGAGGAGAGCCCAGCTCAGCACTGCATGGCTCGCTGTGGATGTGGGATCTTGCAGGACCTCTGGGCAGTTTTGTTAGATGGCTTGCCAGACTTTGGGAAGAGGGAAATCCTTTCAGGCACTGAGTGCCTCTTTTCCTGCTCTACAGCTCACCGGACTCAGGCGGCTCTGAGTGAAATCCCTGACTTGCATCTTGCAGCCAGAGCAGCAGGAAACGTGTGGTCACTCCCCTGGCAGGTCCATGCACAGCACCCTCACAGCCAGCTTTCCATCCAGCTCCCTTGCCATGCAGCCTGTCCTGGGGCTGCAGCTGGAGCTGGGACTGTGTCCTTTGCACCGTCCCCTTTGGCTGACTGGTGCTCAGCTGAACACCAGCCCAAAACCTTCCCACCCTGCCTGATTCTGTCCTGGCAGAGGCTGCTGCTGGCTGGCCGTGAGAGCTGCAGCACAGGGCTGTCCTGCCCAGGGAATGGTGCAAAGAAAACTCACTTCTGAGGGGCACAGCCAGGCCTGGCAGGATGCCCAGAGACCTCTGGGTTGGCAGCGTGGAGCCTCTTGAGTCTTCTGTTCACATGGGACTACATGATGGCTTTGGTGATTTTTTTTTTGTGTTCTTTTTTTTTTTCCCTTCCAGAATGCAAAATTGAGAACTGTGAGTCCTGTTTCAGTCGAAACTTTTGCACAAAATGTAAGGAAGGTTTGTATTTGCACAAAGGGAGATGTTACGTCACGTGCCCCGAAGGCTACGCTGCTGCCAACGGCACCATGGAGTGCAGCAGCCCTGGTAAGCAGCCCTGCACTCGGCATTCTGCTCCTGCCTTCTGCTGCAGGGGGTTTAGATGATGAGCTGAACCCCTCATGGCACCTGTGCCAAGCCCATCGTGGGGCAGAGCCCTCTGGCAAGCAGCCTGGATGGGAACAGCACCGTGTTTGTGAGCTGGGAGCCAGAGCTGGCGTGGTGTGGCAAGGAAGGGGTGCTCAGGGACTGGGGAACCTGCTGGGGAACACAAAGTCCCTTGCAGCCTGAGGTGGGGGGAGATGCAGTGCGGGCTCTGGGTGGGCTGGGCTGGCACGGCAGGAGCAGGAGTTACAGCTGGGCTCTCTCCTTACCTGGCAGCACAATGTGAAATGAGTGAGTGGGGGCCCTGGGGGCCCTGCTCCAAGAAGAGGAAGCTCTGTGGCTTCAAGAAGGGCAATGAAGACCGAACACGGAGGATCCTGCAGGCTCCCTCCGGGGACGTGTCTCTGTGTCCTGCGACCACGGAGGTGCGGCGGTGCACGGTGCAGAAGAGCCAGTGCCCCGAAGGTGAGCAGATCCCTCCCCACCATCCCTCCCACACCCTGCAGAGCTCAGGCACAGGCAGTCAGCCAATGTGTCACAAATGTGCTGTGCAGCTCCTGACCCCTCTGGAGTGCCGGGGATACGGATGGGAGGGCACCTGGAAGAGCTGCAGGTGGAAGGGGCAGAGCCCCCAGGGGGGTGATCCTAGGCACAGCTTGCCATGTGTGCCACAAGTTTCAGCCATTTCACAGAATTCACAGAATTCACAGAATGGCAAGTTTGGAAGAGACCTTCAAGATCATTGAGTTCACCCAGGGGATGATCCTAGGCAGATCTTGCCATGTGTGCCACAAGTTTCAGCCATTTCACAGAATTCACAGAAGGCGAGGCTGGAAGAGACCTTCAAGATCATTGAGTCCAACCCATGCTAGAGAAAAAAAAACATTTTAGTTTCTTCCCTGTCCAGAGAGCAGCCAGGCATGCATGCGGGTGTGCTGCCATGATGGAACCTCTGGACCAGAGTAGGTCTGTTTCTCCCAGGAATTAGAGTGTCTTCAGAATAGAATGGTGGTTTGGTTATCTTGTTACAGAGTGTTCAGGGATTGCAGCTGGGAAAGGGCTCTGAGCAGTGACTAAAGCACAGGAATTAACCAGGGGGGCAGGGCTGATCTGATCCCCCACGCCTCGCTCCACCTCACGCTGCCCCTTTGCCTTCTGCAGGGAAAAGGAAGAAAAAGGAAGAGCAAGGAAAGCAAGATAATGGGAATAGGAATCGGAAAGACACCAAAGACACTAAGTCTGGCACCAAGAAGAGGAAGAACAAACAGAGAGGGGCCACGGTGCCCGCGACGCCCGCCAGCCCTGCCCAGTAGCCGGCCAGTGCGTCACCGATGGCAAACTCCATTGCTGCTATGTATATGAAAGCTTTATTGAACAGAGCACTGCTACACCATGTACACGTGTCCAGAGACAGACATATACTCCAGACTGACCCACGGACTGACAGAGGTCACAAACACCCGCCCAGGACTGTGCAAGGACGCTGCTGAGGAGTGGGAGCGCACACGGAGGCAAAGCCCACAGCCCCAGGGCTCTGTGGGGACACTGCAGGGAGGAGAGGTGGAGCACAAGCCAGTGAAGGACCCAGACATGGGATTGATTTCATGATCCACGGCCTCAAATGGAGCCAAGCACATAGCCCCAGCACAGCCCCACCCAGCCAGGGCATGAGACTGAACCCACAGGGCCACTCTCCCTGACCTGGGACCCAGACACACACAGCAGTGGCCTCTTTCTCTTCCCTCTCCCCTTATTTTGTGTTTTAAGCTGTATGACTTTATCATTGCGAATACAAGAGGTCAGTGGTATCTGCCCTGAATCTGCTTCAAATAATTATTTCAAATAAAATAAAAAAAACCAAAATCAAAACGACAACCAGCTTCCTGAGCGTGTGGTTCATACCTTGGCCCCTATGGAGGCTGGTGTCCCACAGGACAGAGACTCACTTGTGGAAGGGAAACTCACCAAAGCTTTAAGAAAATCCCAGGAAATGCTGCCAGCTGCACTGCAGCCACAGATCAGCCATCCTGCGAGAGGGACCCCAGCTGAGCCCCGAGGAATTCCCCACTGCAGGATTCACTTCGCACAGCAGATTGAGAAAACGGGAGGTTACAACAAACCACAGGCTGCTGAAACGTTGTGACTCCGCTCGGACAGTCCCCGCTGTGGGACAATCCCGGGGTGTGGTGGGAGGGGGAAGACACAGCTCAGGTCCTGCAGAAGAGAAACAAATTTTTGGATTGGGTAGAAACTACCAGTCTGCATCCCACCGGCTGGAATTCCCTGGATTCTCCTGCTCTGCGAGAGCTGACACCTGAGCAGAGGACGTGGACAAGGACTGTGCAAGACAGACCTGGCAAGCTCTGCGTGGGTTTGCTGCCTGCTCTGCTCAGGGCAGTGTCCCAGCGCGGCTCCCACCCACTGCCCTGGCGTTTTAAAATGGGATTTCTCTGGATAAATACGGAGAGACACATTCCAGCAGGAGCTCTCTGGTCCCGAGGGATGGTGCTGTGGCTCACAGGGTGGATCAGGGACGTGCTGCTGGAGCTCCAAGTCCCCTGAAGGGCAAAGGGCAGGGGAAACCTCACCCCAGACCAACCCTGCTGAATCCAATCTTCGCTGTATTTGCCTCCATACCACCCTCTGCTCTGTGGTTTTGGGGGGCAGAGTGAGCCCACAGGTGTGCAGGAGAGAGCTCCCTGTCCCTCCCAGGGTCACCTGCCCACACCCACAGCCCTGATTCTCTCCTGTGGCTCCGGTGGCCACCGAGGACTCAGCTGTGGCACAGGACACCCCAACTCCCTCCACGCAGCTGCCCAGGCCCGGCTGGGCTCGGGGCAGGGTGTGGAGGCTGCACACTTGTTTGGGCTCCAGGGCTGCACCAAGCTCTCCGTGACTGCTCTGCTGGCAGCAAAACCTTTCAGCCTATCGTCCACTTTGCGTTTAAGTAAACAAGCTGTTACATCTTTGAAAGGGGATTCCATTTCAGCACAGTGATAAACGACCAGCATACCAAGCAGGGGGAGAAAGAGGTTCTTAAAAGTCATCCTTTAAGTTGTTTACGGATCATGTTCATATGATTCCTGAAAGCTTCCCAGCTGAACGATCCAACCTTGCTCTATTTTCTAGCCTGGGAGAGAGTATTTTGTTTATTTTTACGGCGTTGCTCGTAAGCAGAAGCATTTTCCCTTGCAGTTGTACCAGTCACCCGTTGGTGAAGCTCAGCTGCCTCGCCCCTGTGCCTCCCTCCTGTGCCACATCCCCACCGAGCTCTCAGCGAGGATTAACGAAAAGAGAATGCATTAGGAAAGTTTTCTACATGAGCCTTTGGTAATGACTTGATTCCCTGCAGTAACTCCTGGCACTATTAGCACAACTATTTCAAAACTAAACTGCATGTAATAAATCAACAGAACCTATTTTAGAGAACTCTAGGGATTATTAGAAAATCTGACCAACTTCTTTCTGTTGTAGCCTTTCCCCTACTTTCTTCCTTTTTTCAGAGCAAAATGGGAAGAAAAAGGGACAAAGGCAACAGGAAGTTTAAGATGCATATTAAGAATATCTGAGATTTTCAGTAGGGGTGATTTTAAAATTAAAATTGTTTTAGAACAATTAGGAGAAAAAATATTGAAAAATAAATTTATTTTCTTTTTTTTTTTTTTGAGTCAGCTCAAGAATCGTGCTTATTCCCACTCCCAGAGAGCTGGTTCAGTTATGAATTTAGGAACATTTTGCCTTTTTCCCAACGTGAACTGCACACTGAGCTCCCCAGTCCAAGCTGAGATGTCCTTAGCTGGGTGATGTCACCTCAACTCACACACATGTGAATGCTCTTTCCATGCACTAAATTACCCAGTTGTGGTGTTGTCTCCATGGCATCACTGTAAAATACATGTCTTTAAACAAATAAATCAATAAATGGGTTTGCTGAACCAGCTTCATTTGTTTATTCACCAAAACTGGAGTCAAACCCAACTGATTCAAAATGTCCCCAGACACAGTGAGCATCTCCTGAGAGCTTTCTGAGAGCCAAAGAAGCACATGGATCATGATGGGAACATCCCTGCTCCCACCCCTGCACGTGTTCCCACGCTGAGCTTTGATCAGCGTGATGCTGAACTGGAGAAGCAGCTGCTGGATCACAGAGATGTTCTGTCAGGAGCTCCACTGCACAGGGAACAGCTTCATTTTCCCTGCTGAACAACCTGGGGTTATTTGCTGGACACAATTCCATCAGCTCAGAATCTGCAGGATGGTTTCTAGCCTGTTTCCCCAGATTTTGAGCAATACATCCCATGCCATGGGGGAACAAAGGGCCAGGAATAATGGACAGCTTGCCATTGTGAATTTGGAACTGTTTTGTTTCTCTCTTATTTGCTGAGATTTGGAACCTAAAGAAGATGAAAATCACCAAACACACGTTGGTTCTATCACATTCTTAACCCTCTCTGGGTAATATAAATCTGTGTTTTTCATCTGCTACAGTCAATGAACTGTGTGCACACACTCCTCACACAGTAATTCACCGACTTTCCACCCCCAGAGAGGTGGAGGCAATGTATATACTCCTTAGCCCATGTTTATGTTTGAATGATTTCTCACTCAGGAGAAATCTTAGCTTTGATTAAAGGAAACAAAGCAGGATAGTGAAAGAGGTTATCTCCAAAACTATTGTTTGGATTACATTGTCTGAGAACACTAAAAGGAATAATTCAGATATATATTTACATATTTTATGAAGTAAATATACTTCACAGATAGAAATGACGGACATCACATTTACAAAATCTACATATCACATTTATAAAATCTACATTAAAAGTACAGAAATACCAGTTGCATTTAATCAGTCACCACCAATAAATCACCCTGATGGCATTTCTGTACATGGTAATGCATCACACCCAACTGAATGCCAAACCATCGTTTGGATGGAGCTGCTTGCTGGGATTTCCAGGAGTTTTGAAGAACAGGAAAAGCGAGGCAGCCAGGCAGGTGGTGTATTGTAATTACCTGAGGTAAAGCGCTGGTTTGGAGGCACTGACAGGGCCACAGAGGAGCCCATAAGAGCAGAAGTTCCTTTCCATGGCTGTTCAAACCCAGCCACAGGAAAATGTTCCTCTTTAAGGGCTTTACCCTCCGGAGCAGCGGTGCCCAGCGGATCCGTGGGGCTGGCAGACGTTCCCAGGGTGGAGCCCAGGGAATTCCCTGCAGCCCAGCTCTGAGCCCCCCGGGCTCCCAGGGCTGCCACAGCCCAGCCTGGCCTCTCAAAGCCCTCCTACACCTTTCTGCCTTTTCCTCTTGACTTCAGTTTCCTCCTCCCTCCCGAGTTGCCCTGCTGCTTTCAGTCACCATTTTGGGAACTCCATATTCAAGGCAACAGCCCAGGATCACTTTGTGTTTCCTGTCACACCTGGAGCCTTCTGCCAAGGAGCCTCCATTCCTGCTCCTGCCAGCTGCATCCCTGGGGAGCCACGCCTGAGGAACTGAGCTGGGAGAGCTGCTGCAGTGATAAACTGCCCACAGGATCTTCTGCTGGGATTTTGGAGATGAGCTACAAAATCCACGGGCATCCTTGTGCTCTGCAGAGAACTGCTGCAATAGAGGGAGATGGCTGAGGCTGCTTTATCCTGTTAAATGAAAAGAGGAGCTCAATACCACGCTGAAAAAGGGCTCTGAGTGCAAGTCCCATCTTGTTCTGAACTCTTGGAAATCTACTTTTCCTTCGTTTAATTGACAAAATCTGTAGATCATACGAGGAAGACATCCCTGCCAAAAATCCAACATCACTAGTTTTTAATAATACAATGGGAATAACCCCTCAGAACATATGTAATTATGGGAATGAGTCATTCCAATGGCATCACGTAACCACATTCACTGGGATTTGACAAAGATGAAGCCACATAAAACTCAAAATTCTTTTATTTCAGGCAGTGGTGCTGAGAAGCTGAGGCCACGTAGCAGAGGCGATGGACAACGATCTGTGACCCTGCTGTCCTGGCTGGCTGTGGCCAGGACATGAATGTGGCCAGGAAAGAATGAGAAAACTAAAGATTGAAATGGGGGATGCATCAATAGCAAACTGTGAGTCATAGAGCAACAAAACATCAGTTTAGTGGAGCAAAATATCTGCCTCGCACGTTATCAGATGCACAACAAGCAGCTGCAGCCTCAGGGATGCTGCAAGTTCAACAGCAAACCTGGAATTCGGGCCAGTGGTGTGTGAGAGGGAGGGAAGTGCTGCAGGAAGGTGCCAGTTGGAATGCAGGTCCCACACGTAATCAGTAGCATCTCATGACAAAAATCCAGGTTCGTAGCCCACCCCTATGGCTGGTAAAGGGTCTGTGCCCTCCCAGCAATGCTTCCAACCTGGGAGTTCAGCACCCAACTCTGGGGCATCCCCAAGACAAGCTCTCCCTGCCACAACCTCCTGCCCAAAGCTGGCTGGGGCTGTTCTCTCACAGAAAAGAGACAGCGACTTTCTGGCTGCTCCCCAAGATCTCTTGCTAACAATAAAGAGGGAGTTTTCTTAAGAGAAAGGAAGAAAGAGCTGGGGAGAGCAGAGCAAAACTATTACTCAACTATTTAGTCTAAAATGTTGAAAATCAAAAGGCTTTTCTGACAGATTGATATCAACTCTAATAGAAAACACACTTGTCCTGGGAAAACTCTTCTACATGAGTCTCGAGTCTGATAGCTTAAACAATTATCTACAATTTGGAATTGATTTTTTTTATGCCCACATCAATGTGTACTTTTTCAATGCCCAAGGCACAGATAATTCCATTAAGAGAAAAACCAGAACGTGTAGGCTTAAGCCAAACAGCCTCCAGCTCCAGACTCAGTCTTACAAAACATGTCCCAAGGCCTGACTCACCATGGCTCCCTTGTACAGCAGGGACTCTTCACCTCACAGCAAAGCGCTGAAAATCATTAGGAGAACAAAATCCCAGCAGCTCTGTTATTGTTCTGGGTTTAAAGGAGCATTAGCAGCACCAGAAGGACATTGCACTGGCTGGGAACGCTCTGCTGCTAATAAGGGCTTAGGAAGGATGGGCCAGAGCTGTGTTTTGGGCAAGAATTCCCCAAGGTGCTGAGCCTGGCCCCAGCCCAAGCTCTGCTATCAATTAACGCTCTTTCAGCCCAGCTTTGTTCATTTCCCTAGGTGAGGAGCTCGCAAATTGCTGCTACAATCTGGCAGGAACAGAACGAGGGCTTACTTTGGACACAGAGCTCGCACAGATTTGATTTGTTAACGCGCCGTAATGCAGTGCTTTACCCGCACAGGAAAACACACAGCGCTCTTATTGCTAATTTTTAACATTCTTTGCCAGTCACCCAGAAAGAACAGCCCCGTGTGCCTGTAAACACCCCCCAGCACTGCCTTGTGCTTGAGTGTCGGCTGCAGCAGTGTCCCTCTGGCTGCCTCAGTGTCCCTCTGGCTGCCTCAGTGTCACACCAGCAGTCCTAGAGTCCCACCAGCTGCTCAAGTGTCCCTCCAGCTATTCAAGTGTCCCACCAGCAGCCCCACTGCCCCTCTGGCTGCCTCAGTGTCATTCTGGCAGCCTCAGTGTCCCACCAGCTGCCCCAGTGTCCCATCAGCTGTTCAAGTGTCACACCAGCAGTCCCAGCGACCCACCAGAAGCCTCAGTGCTCCTCTGGCTGCCCCAGTGCCCCACCAGCAGTCCCAGTGCCCCACCAGCAGTCCCAGTGTCACACCAGCAGTCCCAGTGTCACATCAGCCACCCCAGTGTCCCAGCAGCCACCCCGGTGTCCCACCAGCAGTCCCAGTGTCCCACCAGCAGTCCCAGTGTCCCACCAACCACCCCAGTGTCACATCAGCCACCCCAGTGTCCCAGCAGTCACCCCAGTGTCCCAGCAGCCGCCCCGGTCCATCAGCAGAGGCAGGGAGCGCTCCTGCCGCTCTCCGGAACGATTCCCGTTACGTGCCGCTCCCCAGACCATGGGGGCTCCCGTGCCAGCGACCCGCCGGGCCTTCCAACAGCCCGCGGGCCGGGCCGGACCCGGCAGTGCCACTCCGGAGACGGGCAGGGACACGGGGGGACACGGGGGGACACGGGGGGACACAAAGGGACACAAAGGGACACAGAGGGACACAAAGGGACACAAAGGGACCCGGGCCGGGCCCGCGCGTTGTTGCCTTGGCAACCGGGCCCGGAGGTGCCGCCTGCGCCGGAAGTGCGTCAGAGGCTGTCGCGCGCCGGAAGTGCCGCGCGCGTGTTCGCGGCCCGGCCCGAGCGCTCCGGGCCTGTCCCGGCACCGGCACCGGCACCGATACCGATACCGGCACCGATACCGGCACCCCTACAGCACCAATAGCGGCACCGAGACCCCCACAGCACCGGCACCGATACCGGCACCGCTACAGCACCGACACCGGCACCGATACCGGCACCGAGACCCCCACAGCACCGATACCGGCACCCTCACAGCACTGATACCGGCACCCCTACAGCACCGACACCGGCACCGATACCGGCACCGACACCGGCACCGATACCGGCACCGAGACCCCCACAACACCGATACCGGCACCTCTACAGCACCGATACCTGCACCGACACCGGCACCCCTAGCGGCACCGAGACCCCCACAGCACCGACACCGGCACCCCTACAGCACCGATACCGGCACCGAGACCCCCACAGCACCGACACCCCTATAGCACCGATACCGGCACCGGCACCCACACCGGCACCATGGTGAAGCCGCGCTACAAGGGCCGCTGCTCCATCAACCCCTCCCGCGCCAGCACCAACCCCGGTACGAGCGGGACCGCGGGCCGGGCGGGCCGAACCGGGCCGGACAGGACCGGGGCTGATGTTCTCTTGTCTCCACAGACCGCGTCGGCGGCGAGGGAGGGAACAACATGCGGGACCGAGCGACCATCCGGCGCCTCAACATGTACCGGCAGAAGGAGCGCAGGTGGGCCTGGCCGCGGTCCCGGTACCGGCCGGGGACGGGGGACTAAACGCCTGGGTGCTGGCACGGCGTGTGTTCTGTAAGCCCGGGAGCTGGGAGCCTGGTCCCGAGCCTGGTCCCGAGCCTGGTCCCGTACCCGGCCCTGAGCCCGGTCCCGAGCCTGGTCCCAATCCCGAGTCTGGTCCTGAGCCCGATCTCGAGTCCAATTCTGAGTCTGGTCCTGAGCCCGATCCCCAGCCTGATCCTGAGTCTGGTCCTGAACCTGGCCCCGAGCCTGGTCCCGATCCTGAGCCCAACCCCGACTCTGATCCCGAGTCTGATCCCGAGCCTTGTCCTGAGCCTGATCCCCAGCCTGATCCCCAGCCTGATCCCCAGCTCTCCCCAGCCCAGGGATGTCTCTGGTCCCAGCGATACAGCCAGGAAACACTTGATACATCTGCGTGGAGAGACCCAAAGCACACAGAATTCCCGAATTTCCCAGAGCAGCACGGCTCAAAAGCTGCCCCCAAAGCACCTGGAGAGCCTCAGCTCCCCTCAGCACCTCCACAGAGGGTCCCCCTGTTCCCCTCTGTGCCACACTGAGATCCATGGCAGGAGCAGCGCCCACGTGTCTGTGCCGTGGCAGCTCTGAGAGCCCCATTTCACATCAGCACATTTGGGTTTTTTGCCAAATTTCCCACTGTTTGCAGAGCAGAAGGGGGGAAGGGATTTTGAGATATTGCAATTAAACCAGGTCTCACCCTGTGTGAGCAGGTGGGCAGAACTGGTTAAAAGGCTTTGTGAGAGAACACAGTGAGATTTGCCAGAAAACAGCAACTTTTGCAGCCCCAAGAGCCCTTCCTGGGCTGCACCAGCAGCTGCAGGGAGGGTCTGGCCAGGCTGGAGGGGACCAGAGGTTGGGATAATTCACCCCCATGGAATGCAGGGCAGCACCACTGCAGGGAAGGATCCCTCTGCATTCTGTACCTCTGCTTCTGGCCCGGTGCACACAGGGGCTGCAGGGTCACTGCTGCCCCTTGTGCACTGATGTGTCTTCATCTGTCCCCTAGGAACAAGCGTGGCAAAGTGATCAAACCTCTGCAGTTTCAGTCAACCGTGGCTCCAGGCACCGTCGCCAGAGTGGAACCAAATATCAAATGGTTTGGTGAGTTTTGGCCAACTTCCAGGCTCAGTGAGCTTCAAAGCTGTTGAACTTGGGGTGTTGCAAAGTGTTTGATTCAGAATGGTGGTTTGAGAGCTGCGTGGGAAGGTGAGGGACCCCTGCTGCTCCTTTTGGGGCTACCTAAAAACAGAGGGCAGACAAAATTAGGCAATAAAAAGCAGTTCTATTTATTGAAGGGCCTTCAGGTACATTTTGGGCAGACAAAACCCCTCCAAGGACCTACACCCAAAATGGACAATGGGTCAGGGGTTTGCACACTTTTATAAGTTTGGGCCATTTGCATATTGGGGGTTCATCTTCCAATTACAGCTTCAGCTAATGAAGTCATTTACCCCAAGTTTGCTGCCCCCAACTCATTTTGTTTCCATCTGTAGAGGCAGTGAGGTGTCCTTGATTGCCAGGCCTGGAGAGGAATTGTTGTGTCTGTCCAAAATGGGAAAGCAGCAGCTCACACTGCACGTGGAGTTTGGAGTTCTGCACTAAAGAACTGCAGGATTACAGATAGATGGAAAATAGAAAAGCTGAAATCCTAAGACATCATTGTCCCCCTTGCTTGTACCTGTCCTTTGGGGCTTTGCTCTCCACACACTCCCCCAGGGGTGGTTATTTTGGCTCCTTTTTTGTTCCCTGTGGTTTGCCCATATGTATGGATGTTAAATGTCCTGGAAATACTTTTGAAATTTCCTATAAATGGTGGGAAAGAAAGGGATTGGCTGCCTATTTGGGCTCGGTTTCAAGTAAAACCCTTTGAGTTTTCAGTGGTCTTTTTGTTCCTAGATGGAAAGTTGATGTTTTATGATGTCCCCAGTTGGAGCAGATGAGATCAGGAATGGCCAGGTGCAATGTTTGTTCTTTACACTCAGGAAATACTCGTGTGATCAAGCAATCATCCCTACAGAAATTCCAGGAGGACATGGAGACTGTGATGAAGGATCCTTACAGGGTGATCATGAAGCAGAAGAAGCTGCCCATGTCCCTATTCTATGACCGGATCAAACCTCACGTGGGTATCACTGACTGTGCAGGTGTGTGCACACCTGTGAGCAGCTGTGCTCTCCCTGCTCAGTCTGAGGAAATAGTGGCTTCTGGAAGGGACAGCTGTAGTGGATTCCCTGGGGAAGGATGGTTCTAATTCCCTGTCACTGTGGCCATCAACTGTGAGGGCAAAGAAAGATATATTATTTAATAAAAATTCTCATTTCCCAATAGGAAATTACCCCAAAAATTCTTTCCAGTTAGGGTGGGGAGGCTCTGGCACAGGGTGCCCAGAGCAGCTGTGGCTGCCCCATCCCAGGCAGTGCCCAAGGCCAGGCTGGGCAGGGCTTGGAGCAGCCTGGGACAGTGGAAGGTGTCCCTGCCGTGGCAGAGGGTGGTACAGGGTGGCCTTAGGGTTCCTTCCAGCCCAAAGCCCTTTGTGAGTCTGTGACAGGTTATGATACTATCATATTATGGTCTGATTTCTGATAGGTCAGTGTGCCAGCTGATGTTCTAATGCCTCTAGCAGCTCCTGGGCCTTTCTTGAGGCTGCTTCGCCCTGCAGACACTCATGTGATGAATTTGAACTCAAATACGTGTGTTTTATCCTGTATCACAAATTCTTGTTCATGCAGCCTTCATTTCTAGCATATCAAGTTATTGCCTTTTTTTTTTACGGTGTCTAAACCATTATTTTGGACTATTGGTAGCTATTTTGTCATATGGAAACTTTGTAAGTTCATGTCATAAGAACATTATTTAAATTAGGGAAAGGTTGTGTTAAAACATGCATTACAAAAACAAATTGCTGCTTTCAGCCATGGATTGTTTGCTGTTCCAAGACAAGCTGGCTTTCATTGCAAGCTTTAAAATCTAGTTTTGATTGTAATTATCCCTGACAAAAATCTGAGAATTTGGCAAGATTTGTGCTCTTGTTAGAAAAACAAGAAATGATCAAAGATAGCAGCTGAATTTTCATCACAGTGGTTGTAATTGCATTTGACACCATTTATGGTGGAAGAACTGAAGCATGGTTTGTTGGCAAGTGCAGAATGTTTTGTTGCTTATTAAGTATCCACTCTTGTGTTTCTGGAAGCTTGAGCTGGAAAATCAAACATTGTTAGGGAAGTGCCTGTCACTTGTTACAGGCTGCCAGGGCTGTGTAGAAAACTCAGACATTTTTAGGGAAGTGCCTGTCACTTTTTACAGGCTGCCAGGGCTGTGTTGAGCTTGGGGCTCATTCCCTGTGTGTCACAAAAGATGGGGAAAACGGTGCTTGGGGCTTTTTTTTTTAACCAGCCTGTTTTTCCTCAGACCTCCAGAGTTCACATTCTTGACACAGAAACATTTGAAACAACGTTTGGCCCCAAGTCACAAAGGAAAAGACCAACTCTGTCTGCAAGTGATGTGCAGTCTCTGGTGGAGAATGCTGAGGCCTCGTCAGAGTCGTATGACCAGGGCAAGGACCGAGACCTGGTGACAGAGGACACTGGTGTAAGGTGACTGGAAAGGAAAAATGCTTCATTGTATGTATGTATGAAAAGCCAGCCTTGTTTTTAAAGAAGGATCTGGTACCTCCATCAACGCTGTTGCTGTGTGAGGAGGAAGGAAAAGGAGATGACTGAATTTGGGATTTTGGCTAAATACCAGCTGCTGTTTGGGCTTTGTCCCCTCTTTGTCTGCAAATGGCTTAGGAGAAGAAGATCCTGACCCTGTATCTGTGGTTGCTGATGTTTCTGGTGATGTCTTCTAGGGATGAAGCACAAGAGGAAATCTTTAAGAAAGGACAGTCCAAAAGAATCTGGGGTGAGCTCTACAAGGTAAATGGCACTTGGAGTTTGCAGCAGTCACATCTGCCAGCCTTTACACAGCACTGGGCTTCAGCACTGAAATCCTGTACAGCAACAATGAGAAAAACTCAAAAAGAGTAGATTTTAATTTCTAAATCTCTGCCAGATTGAGCTTGATTCTTGAGCTCTTGTCCTACAGGAACAAACATTCTTAAAATACATGATCCAGAAGAGGTCTGGCAGAGTGAAGGTGTAAGTTTCTATTGGATTCCTGGGTGTTCACCACAAGTAAGAGTCTTGTTTCCTTAAGTTTCTTTAGGCTAAAAACATCTGGCATATTGATGGGGTCATCTTGGGAGAGCTCTGACCCTCAATTCTCCATGAGCCACCATGGCTGCCAGAGAAATGGAGACTGAATTGGGGTGGTATGAGCAGTTTGTGTGCTCTCCGTGACTCTTAGGTGTGAAATTGCTTGACTTTTTGCTCTGAATTTCTGAATGTAGCTTAAAACCTTTTCATTTGGATCTAAAAGCACTGGGAATGGTTGAGCAAAACAGATTTCAGTAAGAGGCTGCCAAAACTGCAGGAAAAAGCTGTGAAACAAATTTACTTGGCTTGAAACAAGTAATAAAATGACAGCTCCCTGCTGTAGTTGCTTCGTGGACTAACAGCAGGTTCCTGCTTGGTTGTGTGTTTCATATTGGTCCAGAAAATATCCTTTATACTCTGATCCATTATGAAATGGTAGAAGGGAGTTGTTGCTGAATAGATGATGAACACTGGGGGTTTGTGTGCTGCAGCAATTTAGTTTTCCCATTTGGGTGTAGTTTTTTCTTTCCCTGGTGCATAAGAACAGGTAAAATTTGTTCAGCTGTCCTGGCTGAATTTAGAGGGGGTTTAGGAGAGGAGAGAGTAGAGCATCAGTAGATGTTAGTCTGAACTTCACTAGTCTGTGGGGAAGTAGCAGTTTGTGAAGGATACAAGGTTTTTAAAGTAATGATGTAGTTTCAGATACGACTAATTTTCCTTTGGGAGGTACAGATATCTTGTTTTCTGCAAAATTCATTACTTCTGTTTGTATTTTTTTATTTTTCAGGTGATTGACTCATCAGATGTTGTTGTTCAAGTTCTTGATGCCCGGGATCCCATAGGCACTCGCTCCCCTCACGTGGAATCCTACCTTAAAAAGGAGAAGCACTGGAAACATCTCATTTTTGTCCTGAACAAGTGTGATCTCATTCCTACCTGGGCCACTGTAAGCACAGTCCTGCCTGTTACTCTCTGGACCTTCTTTGCTCCTGCTGTGGCTGTGCTGTAGCTCCGTGCCAGTCCCCATGCTGCTCTGGAAGGGCGTACTGCAACTGGGGCGCTGGGAGTTCTCTGCTTGCCTGCAGTAAAAGTAACAATTACCATGTAAATCTGTCCAAGTTTGGCCAAGTTGAGCAACACACGCCAGCCACAAATTCCCTACTTCCTCTGTCTGGATTTAACAGTTCAGCTGTTGTCTCCAGAGTGTGCTAAATGTTAGTCTGCCTAGGATCCATATCCACCCCAGCTGGTTTGCTTTATGTCATTAAACTAATGAGTTTTAGCTAGCAGTGAAGGCGTTTTTGGGAAATTGTTTGTCTTTAATACAAACAATACTCAGGGCTTTTAGCTGTTGGGCTGGGGAAGTGCTTCAGAGGTTCTTCCCTAGCAATGCTCATGGCCAGTTGCAGCTGTGAGCCCGGTGCAGATGCTGTGTCCTCCTCTCTGAGCACAGAGTGTCACTCTCCAGCCCCAGGTCTCTAACTCGGTCCCCTTTGCCTCTCCAGAAACGCTGGGTTGCTGTCCTTTCCCAGGAGTATCCAACACTGGCTTTCCATGCCAGCCTCACAAACCCATTCGGCAAAGGTGCTTTCATACAGCTCCTCAGGCAGTTTGGAAAGGTACAAAACAATTTGGGGATCTGTGGTTGGTGTGGGGGGTTACTGTGTATGTTGTCTTCTCCTTTGTTAGCGTTTGGGGTTCAGAACTGCAGTGGTAGTTCTGTCCCTCACTCCAGGATGTAAAAGGATCTGTTCTTTCTCACCAGTTACACTCTGACAAGAAGCAGATCAGTGTGGGATTCATTGGTTACCCCAACGTTGGCAAGAGCTCAGTGATCAATACCCTGCGCTCCAAGAAGGTCTGCAGCGTGGCCCCCATCGCAGGGGAAACAAAGGTAGGAACATCCCAGCATTAAAGGTACAAATGTGGTCGTGGGGAATCAGCCTGATGACCTTGTCACGTTCTGCACTGAGCTGCACAGGTTGTGTGACCCTGAGGAGGGGCTGAGGGACAGTCCCTGCTCCGAGGCACTGCTCTGGCAGCATTCCCACTCTGCCACAGGGCTGTGATGGGAGTGCTCAGCTGCGCTCACTCCCTGTCTGTGCTGGCTCAGGCTCTGTGTCTCTGAGCCAAGGCCTGTGTGGAAGGTGCTGATGGGGAGCTGCTGATCTCTTCCAGGTGTGGCAGTACATCACCTTGATGCGTCGGATCTTCCTCATCGACTGCCCCGGGGTGGTTTATCCATCAGGAGACTCGGAGACAGACATTGTGCTGAAGGGAGTGGTATGTGTCTGCACGGGCTGCTGGAAGGCTTTGCTTGTTGTCACTGTGATGGTCTCAGAGGGTTGATCCTCTGCTGATCCTCTGCTCTGCTTTTTCAGGTTCAAGTTGAAAAGATTAAGAACCCTGAAGACCATATTGGTGCTGTGCTGGAAAGAGCCAAAGCAGAGTACATCAGGAAGACATACAAAATTGATTCCTGGACGGATACAGAAGATTTCCTTGAGAAACTTGCTGCTAGGACTGGAAAACTGCTAAAGGTGTGCCAGCTTCCTGCATTTGCAGGCTGGAAGAGCGTGTGGCCTGTTCTGAACATGGCAATGTTTCTGTTGCTCACGGGGCATGGGAGGGCTGTGTGCCCTGCAAACATGGACATAAACTGTCCCTGTTTTTCTCAGGGTGGTGAGCCTGACTTGCAGACTGTGAGCAAGATGGTTCTCAATGACTGGCAGAGGGGCAGAATCCCTTTCTTTGTGAAGCCACCGAATGCAGAACCAGGCCAGCCAGATCCCCAGGTAAGAATGTGATGCTTGTGCCTCCTCTTCCCTCATATTTGATTTTCCTAATGGTATTCACTGCTGCTTTTCCCAGAGTGCCATGGAACTCGTGCAGTGCATGTCACGGGCTCTGCCCAAGCATGGTCCTTCAGGTGACACCTGAATTTGGTGATGACCAGGTAGCAGTGCTCTTTACAGAGATTCTGAGTCATTACTACCAGAAATGTCAGTAATCATGTTGTCATCTTAGGTTTTTTCCAACGAGAGAAAATGGAAGTTGTTCCTGGAGGTGGTGGGACAGACTTTGGGAATAATACATCCTGCTCTTCCTTGCAGCCTCCTGTGTTGGAAGCCTCTGTGACATGCAGCCAAGATAACACTGAGGAGAAAGTCTCTGAGCTGGTGGCATCAGGTGTGGAGCCAGCAGCAGAGGAGAGCAACACAAACACCGAAATCAGGCAGCTCATGTCCCAGGTTCGGCAGAACTTCGGCAGGATTAACGTGGCACCTCAGTTCTCAGAAGAAGACCTGGTTCCTGTGGATGTGCCAGGTTTTGATGACACGGACAATGATTCCTCTGGAGAAGAGGAGGAGGAGGAGGAGAAAGAAGAGAATGAGCAACATCAGGATCCAGGAGAGGAGGAATTGCAGGTGGCTGCACCTGCAGCCCAGGAGAGCTCTAAAGCAGTTCTTAAGGCATTGGAGGACAAGATTGCAAAATACAAAAAATTTTTGGATAAAGCCAAAGCCAAGAGATTCTCAGCAATAAGGTACCTGAATCTGTCCAATACATTGCAGAGGGGAGAGGGTTGATGAGGCTGTGCTGTAGTTTGACTCCATTTCTGACTTGCTTGACAAATTCCCCTGTGCTGCCACATACAATTGCCACAGCTTATCTGGCTTAGCTGTAAGGGTTGGAAATTGGGCCAAGTAGCAGCTTGCTTTTGAAAGATTATTCCAAGAGCTGCTATTTACCAGCAAGTTAAAAATGTTTTTGGAAAGCTGCCTCCTAAACTATGGATTAGAGTTAGCATTATCTTGGTTTTCTGTGCAGCAGTACTGCATCCTTGGATCTCTCCTTGATGCTGGGTAATCCAAGGCTGGGTATGCCTGGGCCTTTTTGCATGTGCAGTGAATTCTGGCCCATACAGCAGGCACAGTTTTAGCAAAGCTCACCCACCAGCCTTGTGAGGATGGGGATTTCAAGGTTTAAGTGCTACATTTTCTCTCATACAGCACACAAGCACAATAACTCCAACAACAATGGTATTGCAATATTCTGGTGCAAAGATTGGCTTTGTTGCTGACAGAGGACTGGATCTGCTGGAGTCTGATGGCTTCTCAGAGGTGGTCACTGTTTGTGTAACAGCAATCTTTTATTGCTGGTTTTATCTTCCATAGAATCCCCAAGAGACTGAGTGACATCGTGTTTGCAAAATCCATGGAGAAGGCTGAAGAACCCAAAGAAACTGAAGATAGAGGTAAAACAAGATTAGTAGATGTTCTTAATCTACATTTGGAAATCCTATGAGCCAGAGAAAAAAATGGCACTAAGGGAAGCATCCGCTGGATCCTGTGTGCAAGATCTTTTCCCCTAAAACTACTTAAATCTCCCTTTAGCTGTCCCAGGGGCTGCTGCTAACCTGGTGTAGCCTTCCTGTAGAACAGCTGTGTGTGATGGGAGATGTCCCTCTCAGGGAGGGAAGATACACTGAAGGCAAGTTTTGAGTTCCAGCAGCCTGGGCTCCAGGCAGGCTGCAGCCAGAGCAGCTCCCCTTCCCTGGGCTGTTACAGGAAGGAGTGGATGGGGTTTGAGATGTCACAAAAGCAGAGATACTTCAGGCTGTAGGTTTTTACTAAGGCTTCAGTTGTTGTAGTCAGTTTGAGTAAAGGCACAATCTGGTGGGAGAGCTGTGTCCTGACAGGACTGTGGAATTCTCCTGGATTGGATGGGGCTGGAGGAACCTGCTTCTCAAGAGCAGTTTTCACAGGAATAGCTGTGATGCTCTTGTGAGGAACATTCATGTTGTTTTGGTAGAAGCTCTTAAATACAGCCAAGGGAATGTGTTGAGATGGTGACCTCAGCCTGAAGTTCTTCAAACTAATGAGTGTTCTGGGAGATACCAAGTGCATGATCTTTGCTGTTTGCAGGCAGCACAGAGAAGAAAAGAAAGAAGAAAGAAGAAGAGGAAAGTGATGATGATGATGACCAGTTGGGTAAACAGCCTCGTAAGAAACTCACATCCAAAGAAGTAAGTGTGCTTTCCTGTAGTACAACTGAGCAGGGAAATGAGCTTTTTTATCCTTGGCGATGCCACTAAAGAGCCTGTTGTCACTAAAGAGCTTTGAGACTTTGGGAATGAAAGCAGAATTCTGCTATGAATGTTCTGTGACAACTTCTGTCAGCTCCCTCTTACCTGACTATGCACACCAGATTCAATCTTGTATCTTGCTGCAAAGACTGAAGTGGAGCTCACTCTTGTAAGAGCGGGGGGCGAGTTCTGTATAGAGTCATATCAGTAACATTTTGTTTGAAATGATTTATTTTACTTAATGCATGTGAACACCATTGGAGAGTTGCAGCCACCGAGGCTCTGGATGCTGGGGATTTGCTAATGTGTTTTGTGTTTGCAGAGGAGACGAGCCGAGAGGCAGCAACGCTCCAAGAAAGTCGGAGTCCGCTATTATGAAACTCACAACGTGAAAAATAAGAATAAGAACAAGAAAAAAACTGGCTTGGAGGGACAAAGATCAAAGCAGAAAAAATACAAACATAAGCAATAGCTGCTTATTCTATTAAATTTTACATAAAACAGCTCTAGTATGCGGTGGCTTTTTTACTATAAAACTTGCGGTTCCTGTTCAAAGCCCAGTGTGACCGGTCTGTCCTGGCCCCAGGAGCAGCATCTCTCTCTTTGTTTCTGCATCATCTGAAAGTTCTTTGTGCAGTTGGAGCTGATGGTATTTCCACATCGCTGTCCCAGGCCAGCAAACACTGCAGTAGCCAAACAGCTCTTCCAGTGTTGCTCAGTGGTGGGGTTTGGGTGGGTTTTTTTCTGGAAATTTGCTTTATGGGGTTTTTCACATGACTACGGGGAATTCTCGTTCCCGTGTTCACCTTCTGTGTAACCAGCTGCTCACAGAGGTACCTCAAGCAGGGATTTCATTTGCTTCCATTGAGAAGTGAATCTATGGATGGATCATGCCCCTTCATTTCACCAGAAACAGTCACACCCCGAGTGTTGGTGTTGCCTGTGCTCGGTTACGGCTGATGGTTCTGACAAGGGATTTCCATCAACAGCTGATGGTTCTGACAAGGGATTTCCATGAACAGTTTCCATGAACAGCTGATGGTTCTGACAAAGGATTTCCATGAACAGTTGACACCAGCTTGCAGCTATTCAGGGAAATGCCCCCAAGATGCCTGTCCAAGACTGAACTGCCATTTCTTTCTTGGTGCATGTGACTTACTTTTCTCCTAGGCACTTTTATATTGTTTCTGAATTTTCTACAACCTTTTCGAATTAATAATGTCAGAGAGATGTTTGCATTTAAAAACGTTTATTAGTTATTGCTTTAAAGGTCATTAGCATGTTACCAACAAGCAAGTTCCAGACAAGTTCACTGTTCAAAGAGCTGACTGCTGAGATGGCTCTGAAGGAGGGAGCAGTAATTAATGAAGTTCTTGAATTTCAGCTCTTCAAGAGAGAAAGAAAGAACACAGTTACACTGCCTGCTGTTACTGGTAAGTGAAAACTCAAGATTGTTTTAGGAAGACAAATCTTTGTCACTAATTGCAAGTTTCTTGCTCTGACAGCTCTTCTGAGCCTGCCTTGAGGACAACAAAACAATTAATTCTTTGCTGCAATGATGCATTCAAGTTGGGCCTGAAAAACAAATGAGACAGTGAGACAAATTAGATTTCCTAACCTAAAAAATAAACCTTCAGTGCTGTGAAGGGATAAATTTTCTTTTGGATGTTCTAAGCAAGCAGCAGAGGGACGCTGCGCTGCTGCCAGGAGAGCCAGGCCAGGTTTGTTCCCCAGTAATTCCATTCTTACATGTTTTATAAATTAGTTTGTCGTTCCTGGCATGCACAGTTGTTGCATTCTGAGGAGAACAGAGCTGGCCTTGGCTCCATATGATGAGAAACTGTTTTGAATGTAAAGCATCAAAGGGGAAATTAAATAAAAGCTGTTAAAACAGTGGTCTGAATTCTCTGATTTGAAGCTGGACTATCTGAGCTAAATTAAGTATTTGGCTCTCTAGCATTTGGAACATGAACTGACTCTGGGACAAGAGTAGCTGGGAACAGCAAGTTTTGTGATTACTGAGAAAATTTGATGCCAGTTGTGGATGGATGGGAGCAGCTAAAATAACCCTCAGCAGTGGCACACACAGCTGGTCAAGTCAGGTACTTCAAGGAAGAATTGGATTCGGGGGTAACAGACATCTGATCTAAGATTTGGGGTCCTAAAACATTCCAAGGCAGCCTGAAAATGTGAGTTAAAAAGTAAGATCTGCAGGAAAAGCAGCTTGCTCTGAGTGAAATGTTTTTAGCTGTAGCCAGAAACATTTGATACTGTTCAGGGTGACATTCTTTCCTTACTCAAAAGATGTGGGGTTTTTTTTTCCTTTTAAAAACAAAATACAGAGCAGAAGCTCTGTTCTCCCCAAAGCCACATGCACAAATAATTATCCAATCCCTGCACAGTTGTTCTTGGGTAATATTTAATGTTAAACGGTGTGTTGTGTTACTAGGGCTTTAATGAGAATTTTACCTCTAGTATTTGGAATTCTGGATTCTTACTGACCTTCAGCTGCTGGTTTGTCCGTTTGAGGAACAGAACCTCTTCACTGTGTTTCTTCTCTTCTATTTCTCGCCGCTCAGTTTCTTGCCTTTCAATAGCCTCACATTTCGCTTTCTCTTCACTCACTTGTTTTTCCAGCTCCTCCTTTTCCTCTTCCAGCTCTGCAATCTTGGAAAAAAAAGTACATATGTCTCAAGTTTCGTTGGCAAACAGTCAATTTTCAGTTCACATGGGACTGATGCCTTGAGAGGCTACCTAGAACAGAGGCTGGGCAGAGTTAAAGGAATAAAGGAGGTGTTTATTAAAAGGCCTTTGGGCAGTGCAAGAGCCTGGACAGGGGTACACCCAAAATGGACCCTGAGTCACGAGTTTTCACACTTTTATAAGTATTGGTCCATTTCCATATTGGGGCAAATTGTCCAATTTCAGCTTCAGGTTATGAAGTTCCATCCTCCCAGTTTGCTCTCAATTTGCTGTTCATACTTTTTGGGCCTGAAGCTGTAATGGTGTTCTCAGGCTGGAAAAGGATTGTTTTGTAACTAAACTGTGAAGAGAACTTGCTAACACTATATGAAGTTCAGAGCTATATCCTAGTGCAGTACAGAATCTGAAAAATACAAGAGCTAAAATGTATCATCAGGACAAAGTGGTGTGTGGTGCAGTCTCTAAAGCTGTAGAAGAACCTTCAGAAGTGCAGCTAAGCCTGAGGACAGTGAGCTGAGTATTTTGATGGTCTTTGCTGCCATCCTGTGGAAACGGCAACAATGAGTTTAAGGATATAAAATCTGCTATGGGGCCCCAAGGCGTCACTCCTGTTGTCTCACTTTAGTTTTCAGTGAAGACAAAAGATAACAGGTTTCAGTAAAACAATTGTATTATATTAATTGGGATACTAGGACTAATTAAACTCTGCTTTTGCATTGTTTTCAACAGTAAAAGACAAATTCAGTATCATAGTTCATACATAGCGAGCAGAGACAGTGGACTATGTTTTTAATGTAATTATTTAGAATCCGTTGTCCAGTGGGAAGCTGTGAAGATTTCAAGAGCACAAATTCCCTGACCACAAAGAAGGATCTTTCCATAAAATAACCCATCACAACAGAAACTTGACATTCACTGTAAGGCAAACAGGAAGGTGTCCAGGTGGAAGGTGGAAGTTTGGAATTAGCATACAGGACAAAAACTCTACTGTGCAGACCATGGGAAAAGAAACAACTGCTTACACCCTATGTAGCCTTTACACCCTTTTCTCCAGGTGGTCTTTACATCCTTTTCTCCAAGTCCCTCATCCTTTTCTCCAAGTGGCCTTTCCACCCTTTTCTCCGAATGGTCTTTACACCCTGCTCTCCAGGTTCCTCACCCTTTTCTCCAAGTGGCCTTTACACCCTTTTCTCCAAATCCTTCACCCTTTTTTCCAAGTCTTGTACCCTTTTCTCCAAGTGGTCTTTACATCCTTTTCTCCAACTCCCTCATCCTTTTCTCCAAGTGGTCTTTACACCCTTTCCCCCAGCCCCTCACCCTGTTCTCCAGGTGGCCTTTCCCCCAGTCCCTCACCCTTTTCTCCAAGTCCCTCTCCCTTTTCTCCAGGTGGCCTTTGCACCCTTTCCCCCAGCCCCTCACCCTTTTCCCCAGGTGGCCTTTCCCCTCTTTCCCCAGCCCCTCACCCTTTTCTCCAGGTGGGCCTTGCCCTGCTCGGCCAGCAGCGCCTTGCGCACGCCGAAGGCCACGCTGCTCTCGTAGAGCGCCTGGTACGCCGCGAGCGTGAGGCGCAGCTCGTCCCGCACGCGCAGCAGCAGCAGCCCCCGCTCGGCACAGCTCACCGTGGTCTGCCGGATCAGCTCGTCTGCAAGGGGGAAACACAGGCTGCAGTGCCCAACTCTGCCCTTCTCTGGCCCCCAGAGACACTGGCTGTGATCTCTGGCCATGGAAAAGAGTTTTCAATCTGACAGGATGAATTACCAGCTCTGAGTGTTTGATATAAGTAATAATTAAGTGTGGCACAGGTACAAAAGTAAAACTTTAGAATTCTAGATTAGGGGTTCAAAGGGGACAAGATGGAGGAAATTGGGTGTGCCTTGTCCTTTTTCTCCTTCTTCATGCCCTCCATGTGTCACTGTGGTGTTGGCATTTTTCTGTTGCTTTAGGCTGGAAACACACTATTCAACGTAAATAATAGATATTAGCACATCATTGTAAATACAGCACATGTAATTTGTGGTATATAATATTTGTACCATCCCACTGAGGGCAGAGCCCCACACGCTGCCCTGCAGGACAGAGCTGTGGCAGGGCAGCAGAACATGTTAGAGATAAACAGAATAAACAACCTTAAGTTTTAGCTTTTGTACAGAAGGGTAAAGAGGGTTCTGAGGGGATAGAGAGGGTCCTGGGGAGGTAAAGTCAGGCCTTTGGGGTAAATGGACCCACATTTAGGATATGGCCTGTCCTAGAGACAGTAATAATTGATTTGTTTAGTTCCATTGCAGCTGTAGCATTGAGAGTAGGTAAAAGCAGAGCGGTGGTGCAGCTCTTCGGGCAATGCCCTAAAGCTGCAACAGCAAGCACTCAAAAACGTGAAATGACTTGTTGCAGTCATGGGGGAGCCCTCAGAGGTTCCTGCTCGCCAACCCGCGGCCACTGCTTGCCTCCGGGAGACCAGCACTGTGTCACCAGCGCGTGTAACACACACACGGCTCCAGTTTACTTTAAACAAACTTGGCTGGAGCGCAGCTAGGAGGACCCCCGAGAGGGTTTAGAGCAGTTTCCAGGCGCAGGCTGTGCACTGACCGAAGCACTGCGTGTAGAGCTCCCTGCGCACGGGGCACAGCCCGGTCTCCCGCGCCTGCCGCTGCTGCAGCTGCCGGTCCAGCCGCTCCTGCAGCTGCAGCACGTCCCGGCGGGTGCTGGGCGCGGCGGACACCTCCTGCACCCAGCGCTTCTGCGCCTCCTCCCACTCCCTGCAGAGAAGCACGGGCGTTACCGGAGCCGCCGGGCGGCCCGC